TCTAAGGAAGGGAGCTTCATGTCGTTTTCCTCCTCGCGGGTAAACGTTATCCCTGGCATAACCTTGTTTAGGGTATCACGGAATTCTTCGATTCTTTCTGCCGGTAGCACTGCTAAGGTGTCATCCACGTATCGAACCCAGAGGCGAGGGTGGTATTCTGCAAATGCCTTGGTTTCGAATTGTTTCATCACCGCATCAGCTAGTAGGCCGGATATTGGTGATCCTATTGGAGTTCCTTTCACCATTCGATATATCCTCCCGTCAAACTGTAGATATGTTTCCATGCAGAGTTCAAGCAGCTCCATGATGCCAGTCACTAATAGTGGTGTTCTTTCTGGAAGACGAGGATCATCTGCTNATATGTTTGTAAACAGAGATGTGACATCGAAGGACACCATTTTTTCTTTCGGTTTCAGTTTTAATACTCTTGTTCGATCTAGGAATGTGACGAGTTTTTATGCCGTTGTCTTCTGGAATGGATAGGAGTAATAAATGAAGGAGATATTTAGCCAGCTGGTAGTTGGGAGCCGTTGTTGAAGAAACGATTGGACGTAGTGGTACTCCGGTTTTGTGCACCTTTGGTAGTCCATAGATCCGCGGGATTGGACCCTCCGTAGGTTTGATATCTTTGTATTGTTTTTCACTGAGTTTGTTGTTTTTCTTTAGTTCTCTTTTTAGTGAACCTGTTACGTAAATTTGTTATAGGGTTTCCTATACCTGGTTAATATGCCTCCGAATCATCGATGAGTCTACCCAGTTTTTCTTTGTACATATATATATATATATTTGATAATAAGTAGTATGTGAATGACTGGACAGTATTTCCCTGGAAGCACACGACCGGTTTCGCNAGTAGATAAAGACAGTGGGTCATATGGTTCGGTGTCCTAAACGGTGACGCCGGTGCGTTTTTTTCTCCTACCGAGTTCATTTGGCTTTTGAAGTTTTATTATGTCGGTGCTTTCAGCTTCCTGCCTCTCCTGTTAACTCTCCATTATTCGACGAAACGTTTAGTCAATGGTTAGCAACCAAAACCGTCACACGATAGTGCAAAGTAAAAGGTTATGAAAATCAGAACGGAAAAAGTTTGCCTAATATGATGCTGTTCTAAATCATCCATACGGCGAGAGGTGTTCACACGCTTTTGCATACACAGAACCACTGTTTGCAAGTAACCGATTTACGGCGTATCGCAGTAAATTTTTCCTGAAGTCAAATTTTTATCCAGATTTCAGGATCCTCATCTGGTATGCCTTCCAAAGAACAGTTGCCCGATGAATACTTTTGTCTCAGTCGTGACGAGGCCAAACGTCTGATGGAACAAAACCAACGCACTATCGAAGAGAGCGGAATGCTACTGACCAAAGCTATGCGTGAGCGTTTGCGTATACAAGAAGTTCGCCTGTTTCGCTATGTTCTTATTCGTGTTCGACTTCCAGGAAACTTTGTGATTCAGGTATGTGTATATCTGGAATATTCGTGTTTATGATCCAGCCCAATCCCAAAAATCAGAGTTGATTTACCTCAGGGTTTAGCTTCACGACTAAATTATCTGGATTTCAATCACAAGTTGACTGTGCCTTGTTCCCCTTCAATCTGTTTTATGAGTCGTGATAATTGAATCACTATCCATTTTTGCGGTGACCTTCCCGAATCAAACTGTTCTTTTCTTTACTCCAGACTATGTACCGAACAAATCAGAGTACAATTATCTTTATAAAAGGAAAGTAATTCCATGATTTATTTTGGGTCGCGATGCTGCCATGTTGCCCAGGCCAAAGCNCCAAAGCAGGTGAATTTTCTTGAGGAATTCACAACTGGAGCCTTAGACTAGTCAAAGCCTGACCCGCAAGGTAGTGGGGCGATGTGTGAAAATCACCTTCCATGGCGGGGGGAAGCGGTACTGTCCAGTCCATCGAATCATCATCATAGGTGTGGGTGAGTATGCTTCATATACTTCTTGGTTGGTTTGAAATCAGGGATTCTAACCAACTCCCCTAAGCGAACTGCCAGTAGTTCATCAACCCGGTTATATCTCCGGTTGTTGACTTTTCATCCTCTCACTTAGGTGAGAGAACACCTCCGCCACGGGAAGGCAGTAAATAGGACCTCCGCAATGGGGGGTTTTGGAGGCGCTTGGTCGTATGGAAGCATTTCGTGAGGTGCCAGGGAAGGGTGATGATTCAGATACCGAGATACTCATCTCCGACTATACCAAAGCTTTCGAAGGCTCCTCCTTTTTCGTTGACATCAAAGTTGTAATGTCCTTGAACTGCCGCATCCTTGTTTCGCTCCCATGGTGGTAGGCAGCTCTGCTGTCGTCCAGTTCCATACCACGTCTAACCTATCGGGGCCTTATGTGGTTCGTCACTCCAAGTCCCGGGTCTTAGGTTACCGGTTTCCATCACTGAAAAGCAGATCCTCCTTAATATGGTGTTCGCCCCATCTGTTGTTCATCACACTTAGGTGTGTAATAAAAAAGCTTAGAGAACATAACTGCTAACCTACTGTCCAGTTTAATCTTTTTATTCCTTAGCGGGTTCATGAAAAGGTAAGATGATAACTTTAATTTGTCCAACAAAAACTTTCCATCTCACTCTACTGCATGATGACCTGACGAATGGTCAAACCCACTAATTAAAGGGGCCTGCTGTTCTATATAAGTTGTAATTTTGAAAACACAGCGATGTCGGTACAGGTGAAAATAAGACGACGTTTCGGTTACCGTGGGTAACCTTTATCAAGGTGATTTGACAATCGAATCTGCTGTTCACACAAATTATCTCATCGTACTTCCTTTTATTGAATGCATAATGATACAATTTTCAGGAATGGGGAAAGCGACCACTCAAGGTTGTTATAAAGTAGGCATAATATTGATTCGGATAATAGCGTGGCTGCGTACCGTTCAACTAATGATGAATAAGGAAGTAACATTATTGGTAAGACACTATAGCTTACAACATTGTCATGTGATCAACCTCTATTGCAGTTTTGTAGACAACACGTATACAACTCATTTCTCAGTCGTGTTGCTTCATACGCTTGTGCCAAACTATGAACTGAGCTCACATGATCACCATATTCCAACCGTAATCTCCTCAGTGAGCATTAACGTTGGAACGAATGGATTTGGGGACGTGCGCAACACGAATCCCTTTGGCACAATTTACCATAATGGGATCACTGCTTCAGAATAGCAAGTGTTTGACTATCGAACCCCTCGTCTATTTGTCTACAATAGGCACTAGCTGAGATGTAGTGAGCTCGTCTGCTGGCTTCTCTTTCACGTATTTTATTTGTTGTGTCTATGTAGCTGTAATATACCGTGATAGCAGTCGGCCTATTTAGGTCGGCGTCACCGGTGCACTCTGGATCGGAAGTTACAAAGTTCAAACCTTATTGCCACCCGGTTTTTGGTGATCAACAGTTTCACTCTCGTCCGACTGGTTAATACGCCTATCCTATTCGGGTTTTGTGTAGCTCTCTGTTCTAAGCTCCGGGTCTTAAGATGCCGATTGTCATGAGTAGATAGTTGGTCCTGTTGATTATGGTGTTTGTTACTTCTGCCGGTCGTCATACGTGAGTGTGTTCTGAAAAATGCAAAATCATTACGTATCAAAATACGCGAAGATTACTGGAATTTATTCACTGGTCTTCTTACTATTATTCTTTTTAAGGATACAACCGAGTCAGAAAATCTAGACTAAACTTAGCGCACGTGCTTGTCATCCCAAACAATCCGCGCTTGTTAGAAGTCAACCCAGATTAGAACAATCCCCAAGAAAATATCGTCCAAGTACCGTCCATTTGCCTGCTCATCTATGTTTTCGAAAGCTTTTGAAAATGTTTTTCCGCACCACGTGATACCCTTATGATCCCCTACAGTTTTCCTACAAAGCCCGTCTGTCCACACTTGATACTGTCACCCATATTGTTCAATCTCCTATCTTGGCCTGGGAAATATGGCAGTATTTCACCCACAAACAAACCGTGAGCCGTTTTTCTTTTCCATACAGATTTGTATGGCACAGTCTGGATTCAGACGCGTGTGAAATACATTGTTCAATCCGTTTCACCCGTCTTAGAAAGAGGTTCAGGTACCGCTCGTTTAACTTCTCTCGATTTTGTCAACGCCTTTGGTTCTTTCGACCAATAGGTGGTTATTGAACGCATTTTTGAGTGTGGTCTGATACCTGAATGCTTTACTCGACTACTTTTTCCATAGGACCCAGTTTACTTCATTTAATGGCATACAGTCATCTTTCATAAATATCGATTCTAGTGTTTTCCATGGTGCTATTCTGCCCTATTTTTAATTTCCATGCACCTAAAAATTCTCCCCGTTCCTCCATAACTTTATTGCTTGGAAGTATGCTGATGATATTGTGAGTGGTTGCCCATCCCCTAATCTAGACAGCTTTCCAGCTCTCCAGGACTGCCGTAACGAACTCAACGATTGGTTTATGCCAAATATTTTGTTTTTAACATCAATAAATGCATCAACGTTACCTTTGGTCTTAAAACCACCTCCCATTATCTTGGATTCTTAAGTACTCTCCCTGATATTGTAGTTAATAGTAAAAGCATCCCCAAATCTGATTTTGTTCAATACTTCGATGTCACCCTCGTTCCTAGCCTGTTCGGGTTTACTCATGTGATTAGCGTTGTAACAAAATTTCGGATACAGGCTCCCGAAACTAGCCTTTCTACCTAACCCTATTCTTAACTCCGTGATTCCCTGCATCCTTTCATATTGTTTATACTGCTCCTCGACATTTATCCCTGGTTTAAAAGAAAAAGTTCTCACCTTGTTCTCCAGATCCCCTCAGCATACAGTGGAATTGATAGAATTATTTTGTTTTTTGTTGTTGTTGTTGTTGTTGTTTCCCACCTTTTCGTGATACATTTAATTGAGAAGGTAACATGTGATCCAGAGCACTGTCTACATTCGGAACTAGTGAAAACCGTGTCAAATCCCCAAATTCGTTCCAAATATCAACTCCTTCCTATACTTCCTTTCTCGTACAGAAACAGTGTAGTTCCATACCTACTTGGCACTTGGTTGATGCTGAAACAATTGTCACACACCTTGAGGAAAGACTCTTGCACTATATATCTTTTTCTTTTACTAGAATATAGAATTTATTTTCATTTTGCTTTCTATCGCAATTTTTTGTAATACATTCACTGTACAAGTTCGTAAATTGACGAAAGTTCACCGTCTGGGTGCATAAGGCGTCCTTGCACTTGATTTGACTTGGATATATGGTTAAGTTTTGTGGTAAATACCGTTCTCATAGTCACGTTTCCGTTTAATTTTCTTGTTTTTCTAATACACATCATTTGTTCCATCCATGTGTTGATTTTTCTGACCGTATTCGCAAGACTGCAACCCAAACCATTACATTACTGGTTATTTAACTTGCCTTCGTTGATCTATTCTCTGAACAAATCGAAAGTTTCCAGGTGCTTTGATTCTTTTCATATTCGCAATTGTTTCTGTTCAGTGCTAACTTCCGACGTGGCCCGCGAGGCATGATGGTAAAATGTCTCATCCCATGCTTATGCTAACCCGAATTCAGTGCAGTACAGCGCATCCTCGTTACTATACTTTGCGATAGGCTATTAAATTCTTCTCACTCCCTTACGTAGAATTGACCACGCTTCGTGTCTTAGGGATTCGGTTCACTAATCGCCTGCGGAGATCACAGGTTCGACTTAATCACTATGGATTGATGGCTCGGTGATCTTTATCCAGTTTAANATGGCTCGGTGATCTTTATCCAGTTTAAAACAAGTCCGCGCAATGTCTAAGATCACCGAGTAGATGAATAACAGGCGGTGGTGGTCAACTGGTTAGAGCACCAAATTGTGACCCCGAAGTCCCGGGTCCCAAACCGCTCCACCGCCGCCCCTCTTCCCTATTTCTGTATTTCCCCAGACATCCTTTGTTTGACCGCAGCTTCCTTTTTGAAAGTTGACTGTACATTTGTATATTGAAAAAAAATAAAGAAGGAAGTAAAGAAGACATTTAAAAAGGTTCAAATGACATGCACCTCGCAGTGATTATCATCTCTTTGTCTGGTGCAGAAATCCTCGACGAACGGTCAAATTGTGTCAGTTTTATCACGTACCTTGTCTGGGTCGCTTCCCCTATTGGTCTTTGAGACACAAAAAACCGTTTCTGAATAATTCGAAGTACAACCCAGCTGCTGGAACGTACCCATGATCTAATCAGTAAACCACTTGATACAAAGACCAAGGTACACAAGTGAAGACTGAAAAACCTCGTCCGAAGGTCGTATAATGGTGGAAAATACTATTAAGAAGCATTCTTTGGTTTGATTCGATTATCAAATGAATTTTATTTTTCGGAGGTGTAACAACCTGCAAGAGAGTGAATTTCTTAATCGATACGAGTGGCAATCCAGCTTCCTTCAGAGTTTCTCTGCACAATTGCTTTTCTAATTTTCGTGTTCTTTTGAAATGGAGAGGTGTGTACAAAATGAATATTCATTTTGTTGTATTTCGATGGGCTAAGCTGATCGATGAATTGGTAGAAAGTTATTAAAAATTCTCGACTTGCTTTCTGACACCTACTGCAATGTCATTCATAATCGTTGACCTTCATATGGTCATATTTCCCACTCAATGCGGTAGTGGTTTCTTTTATTCCTGACATGCTTTTATTCCCGTCACGTATCTGGAAATATCTGATGAAAGAGGAATCGCTCCACATGTGGTCCGTGACAGAGCAAGTCGAGTTCATTGTAACCGGATTGCGCACTCAAGATAACCACATTGTGTCTGTTTTTGTTCTTGCCTGTGTTGCTTTTATTATCGTTCCATGCTGTGTGCTTTTGTGTGTCGAATGATCTTAGCCAATTGACACTTTTCGTATTTCAGGGCACTTTTTATGCGTCGGACACGGTTTTGACCGTGCGTAATTGGATTACCGAATGTTTGGCTGTTCCAAGTACCGAATACCAACTATGGGCACCGCCGGGCACAGTTAGTGCCGGTCGCTCAAACGCTCCACCCACTGCACGCCTGGAGTTGACGAAAGAAACTTCTTCCTTGGTGGAATGTGGTCTTGCCCCTTGCAGTTTACTGACTTTATCCATTCCGAGTTCTAGTGGAAGAGGGACATCACCGGAGCCAAGGTCATCCTCATCACCGTCTCCTCAAGTTCTGTTACGATCGGATCTACTGGAGAACGTGGCTCAACTGTGAGAATCCTCATGATCAAACTCTTTCCTCATTTCTTCAGGATCCCGTCCTTTCTATGGTATGCTTTTGTTACGGGAATTCGCGAGCCTTTGCTACCTACCAAAAGTTATATACGTATGGTTGTCGCGGACTGCCGTACCTACTCCCTGTGATTCACTCCGCCAACCATTCCTTTCCGAACTCACTTTAACTCTTTGGTCGCTTGCGAATGAAAAAGAATAATGCACTAAGCTGTTCCCAGATCTATTTTCCGTTTAAATGATTGATGCATATGCGTTTATGTGCATTCAATGCGTCCCCATTCGGTTTGTCTGTGCGAGGAACTTTTGTTCATCCATGTGCGCATCACCTTTTGAACCAACGAAACCGTCTGATGTGAACAACAGTGAAAGGAATAAATAAATCGTCACCGCGTGATGTGCGGTGTTTCGTCTCACCAGAGGAGGTGTAGCGTTCGTGTTCACTTCATTGATACATCATTTCTACTTGTTCTCAGGTTCTGGTGAACGATTCTTTTTTTTAACCATCGCCACCGCTTGCAGCTAACGCATAGTATCGCTGGGTTCAGCAGATCGTTACGCCGTTGGTGGTGCCTCAGTGAATAAAGTTGCGGTGCCTGACTTTTCCAGGCTTGAGCTATATATAATTGCATCAGGTTATTGCTATACAGCTTATTTCGTCGTTCGTTACTATACCGCATACGCATGCTGAGGTCTTGCATCATTGAAGTTTTCGATGCCTCAGCTCCCAAACCACCGGTCGTATTTGCCATGTGTTATTGTGCTGTCTCTAACCTGTGGATTCTCGTACTCTAGGCTTGATTGGACTCGCAAGCGCTATGTGGAATTATCTGCAATATTTGTAGAGTCTGTTGGTATGTATGATTCAGGAATGAGTCACTCATGTGCGGTACTGTCTGTGCGGGGTCAAAAATGAAAAAATCCGATTGGCAGATTCTACGAAAATGTGATCGGCCAGCGTGGATCACGGCTTACTTCTCCGAAAAATGTATGAAGTGTGGTACTCTGTCAACTGCTGCTGAACTTCATCAATGTCATCATTCCTCCCTTCCGTCTAAATGAAAATATTTTGTGAACTGGTGATTTATGATTGATTTAACTTTAAGAGTTTTGCGTTTTTAACTGTTCGGAATGTTTATTGGGTATTTGGCAATACCTAACATTACTACAACTGTTTTCTTGGAAAGAATTAGCCAGTTTCATGGTGAACATGAAGTTTCGTCGGTGTTTCTCACAGATGAGGTCCACAACATGCGTCACTTGGCTTTTTATTTTGAAGACACACCTCTACCTTTTTAACTGTGAGCACGTGCTGCAAGGTAGCAGTGATTTGGTGCATGATGACCAATGACTCACTAGAAGAAAGGTATCCGTCGTTTGACTAGCGTAAATTCTGAGGCTTTTGGAGACTCAAAATTTAGCTAATCCATCGCTAATAGCGCTAGCGATTTATAACATTAGTGCTATTGGCGATGGATTAGCTAAATTTTACGCCTGTCCCCTGTTGTTTCTTCCATCTATTCCTAATTTCCGATACAGCTATCGACAGAGTGATATGTGTTGCTTTAGTTTGGTGGTTCATTTGATCGAAATTCGGCACTCTATAGTGACATACTATTTACCTAATGTATCATTTGCGTTGATGCACACTGTTCGCCAGTTCTAGCCACAAACTGTTTTAGTCCGTCGCAGTGCACTTATATCCTTTATGAGAATCTGATATCTAAGCGAAGAGCTGTGCGAGATTCGGTAATTAACACTAGCAAAGGGATCTGACCAGACGTGCGATGCACCTCTCTGCGAATCTGATCATGAAGTCCATTTGAGATGTTGAATCTCACGGAGTTTTTAGTAGTCCTGACGCATCATATTTATAATATGATCATTTGGGATCAAAACAGAACTGCAAGTCGTCTGTAATGTTTAATCACGAAACAACTTTGTCAGAGTAATTAAAAGTGACCGACAAAATGGTTGAGGATACTGTTTCACTGAGTGATCAATGGTGCTTCAAATAGTGCCTTACATTGCTGGCCAGCTGTACGTCGTCAGCAAAACAATCTCAACCTAAAGTGTAATGATAATTCACAGCAAACTTCAGTCGTTTTATCACTAGTCGAATCATGTCAGAGAAAAGTTGACTGAATAGATTCTAGGGGGTAATACGGGGGTTTGGGGCCGTCACGTTATCGTTTTGAATTAAACACCTAAGGCCACTATAAATCTGATAATAATCAAGTATCGCATGACAATTTAGAATGAAACCGTACAAATGTTTTTCTCAGTGATTGTCCATCATCCGACTCCCTTAGTGATCCGTTTTTCCGCAGTGATATCAGTCGGGAGCCGCACCTTGAAGGTTTCACGACGATCATTGAGGAACCAGTGGTATGGACCAATCGAATTCACAACGGTTCGGCCGGAGGAAAACGGTAGATAATTGATTAACACCTTCAAAACCAAGAACCTCTTTGGTACGGATTATCATCAGTTTGGGACGGTGGTGGCCAAATGGTTATTTGACGAAATTGTGACCTGGGAGTCCCGGGTTCGAACCGCCGCCCGCCTTCCCTATTTCTGTACTTTTCCAGGCAACCTTGTATGGCCGCGGCCCCCTTCCTGAAAGTTGACTATACGTTTTTCTTTTCAATAAATGAAAAGGAAGAAATGAAACATTTGGATTCCGTAATGAATTTGAATAGGCGAGTCAGAAGACAAACACTGTGAGAGGAATTCCTTTCGTATACTCTCCTCGGTCGCGTACGTATAACATTGAACAAGATAGACAAATGAAGCGAATTAAGAAATCTAGTTAGTATTAATCATGTGTGTGATTGTGTACAGTGTGATGCACGCGATCGGTTACAGCCAGGGAAGGCCAAGGCTAAAGGTCATACGCTTTTGGACGCACAGTGTGGGTTTGTTGTGAGTGATCGATAATGCCTCGAGTATTGTCGGTGTTTGTCTCGATGACGTAACAAAACCGAGAACGCGCTCGTGAGGTCTACCTTGTGGTCGCTTTTAACCAGGTGACGTGCGATGGTCGAAGTCGGTCTGCGTGCTGCGATTAGAGTGTGATGTGGGCTGAGTCATAGAGTCACGCACATACCTGGAGATGTTCTCGGCCATTCTAGTTCGCGGTGATCGGTCGGTTCTACCAATGTATGCCACTTCACAAGCACTGATGATGTCACCTCGGCTGGTGATGAAACGTTTGCAAACAAATTGCCAAGCTCGGCGAACAGGCGAAATGGAATTCAGTTCACCCGAGCTGCGAGAACCTATTTTCAACATTTTTCGGGCGTACAACGCTAAAAGCAGCTCGCCGATGGGAGGTTTTCGCCTGCCGAGAAGTCTCCACTCACGAGCAGCTATTTTTTCTTCACGAATGCCTACGGCGCAATCTGCTTCCATGGAGCGTATACCACAGACCACCGATCAATCACCCGGAGGCCTGGAGGATTTCACACCAATTCGAAAGGCGCATGATGATCTCGGATGCTCACAGAGGCCACTTCACCAGCACTGAGGATGTCACCTCGACTGGCGATGAAACGTTTGCAAACAAATTGCCAAGCTCAGCGAACAGGCGAAATGAAATGTATGCTTCGTTGCAGCTGCAACAAAAGGCGTAAATGCACTGAGACGTAGATTCGACTGGACGACGATCTTTGAATTGGGGGAGGGGGAGGCGCCGTGTGATCAGATGGAGTCTTAATGTGACAGGGTAGTAGGTTCTTTGTAAAGCGTTTTTGATAAGCTGTGTGATAAGCTACAGTGTTGACTCCGTTCTATATGGCTGCGAGATATGGATATTCATTTCAGGCACTCGAGGGTTAGTGGCTTCAGTCCGGTTTCCTGTCCGATTATGAAACGGAACGAAAGATTCCGGATAACCATTTACGCGTAATGCGCTATAGATATTCTTCTATTCACTTAGTATTGTGTCCTCTGTACATATTTTTCTCACTCTATGGACCAAATATCGCACCAGGGCTATCTTGTGTCCTATTGGTGAGAAACTGTTGAAGTGTAGATACTGCCCGGACCAAATCTTCTTGCGGACAATAGATCGTTGGATAGAACCGTCACTTTTACGGGTTATCAGGACATCAAGGAAAGCTAACAAATTTGCCTTCTCCACTCCACAGGTGAATTTCAATTTGCGTTGTGCTGCGTTGAATTCATCCAGCAATACAGCCATATCGTGAGGGTGATTGAAGATGATGAACACATCATCTTCTTTGTCTTGGTATGTGGAAGTTCCAGCCGCCGATTAAGCGTACAATCGCTTTTACTGATCTGGATATATTTTGATCACCACGCAATTACCTTGGTAGCTTCGGGCTGTTTCGATCAAGTCTTCACCTTGCGTTATGCATTCGAGTGATATAGCATACCCCAGTCAAAGATAGAAGTTTTCCTTAATCTCGTTTGGGGTAATCACAATGGCTGATAATTGAATGATCTACCTGATTAGCGAATGACAACAGAAGTTTTTTGTATCACGTGACAACGGGAGGAAAGTAACAGGAAAATGTCTCTATATCATGATATACGGTACCGCGTTGATCATTTCTGCTGTCTTATCCTCCCTCACACAAGTGTATCTCTCTCTACTCACACTAACTATTCTTCCTCAAGCATACAAAGTTACCATCTCCTTCCGATAAATGACCTTAAATTGGATCAATGACTGTAATTTTGCAATCAGTTTTCCACCAAATGATATGTAAGACCATGAGCAGTAGGTAGTGGCGTCGCAGTGGTTTATTCCGTGGGGGGGGGGGGGGCTTAGGTTACCGGTTTCTATCACTGAACAGCAGGTCCTCGTGGCTATGGGGTTCGCCCCGTCTGTTGTTCATCACACTTAGATGTGTAATAAGAATGAGGAATATCTGAAAGACAGTTGTTTGCTGGCCGACTCGTTTTTTCTCTCTTTATGCCAGCGTGTGTAGCTCTATTTTGATTTCAACTATAGAG